ATACCGCTGTGCCACTGGAGGGCACCTCAAGTTGACAAATAAGTGATGGACGAAAAAAAATAAAAAAGAGATGCGGTGCTATGTCGTTTGAAATGTAAATGAAATTATAAATATCTGCGTAATAGTAACATTGAAATCATTATGTTTCAATGTACGCGTAATTATTCAAATAGATGTACTGTCCCTAAAATAGATAACAAAGATAAATTGATATTTAAGTGAAAATTCCACGTCACTATTATCTCGTACTCACTCCTTTTCTGAGTCAGGTGTGGCTTAAATGGCTAGAGTGCTCGGACTGTGAATTCGAGATTTCGTGAATCGCGCCACATTGTCCTCAAAATCGTGCTCCGTACTTTTACGCCATGGATGCGTTATAAAAATGACGGTCAAATCCCACTATTGAGTCAGATAAGTGTGGTCCTAAAGTTGAGGGTAGGTGCTGTTGAATAGCTGCCTTTCCTCTAAGCTGCCCGGCGTGGTCAGGTGGTTAGAGCGCTCGTCTCGCAATCTGCGGGTCGCGGGTTCGAATCCCCGTCACACCAAACATTCGTGGGGGCGTTATAATGTGACGGTCAATCCCACTATTCAGTCAGATAAGTGTGGTCCTAAAGTTGAGGGTAGGTGCTGTTGACTAGCTGCCTTTCCTCTAAGCTGCCCGGCGTGGTCAGGTGGTTAGAGCGCTCGTCTCGCAATCTGCGGGTCGCGGGTTCGAATCCCCGTCACACCAAACATTCGTGGGGGCGTTATAATGTGACGGTCAATCCCACTATTCGTTGGTAAAAGAGCAGCCCAAGAGTTGGCGGTGGGTTGTGATGACTAGCTGCCTTCCCTCTAGTCTTACACTGCTAAATTAGGGACGGCTAGCGCAGATAGTCCTCGTGTAGCTTTGCGCGAAATTCAAAACAAACAAACAAACAATCCTCTAGGTTATCATTTTAGAATTAGGAACGGCGATATGCAGATAGCTCTTGTGTAATTTTTCACGTAAATTCTGAAAGAGACAAACAAAAACACTGGTGAAGGCTCTTTTCAACTCAATCGGATGTTCTCTTCCAAATACTTTAAGACTTCAGAGCCGTTAAGCTATGTAAAACACTAACGATATCAGACACTTTCATTATTAACACAGTGTTTCTGCGCACTTGTCCTCTATATACTATATTCAGAATTTTCCTCTCACTTGACGAACCAAGAAACTGATATGCTGATTGCTAAGTTCCAGAATTCACACTAGCTAGTTAGTGCTATCTTATCATGAACAGCATGATGACAAATTAAGATAATTTTTGTTAGTTTTTTTTTTTAATATTCAAGATAGTAATGTCTTCTTTTGAAACTATTAATAGTCTACTAAAATAGCTTTAAAATGCTTCAAACAGTTTTTGTTTTATAGCAAAGCTACATTGGTTTATCTGTTGTTTTCACCGCTGGGAATCGAAACCCGAATTTTAGCGTTGTAAGTCAGTGGTCTTACCATTGTCCACTGGGAGGCGCTTCAAACAGACGTATTGTCTACTTATTAAACGGTTCACGACACCACAGTTATTGTTCCGCACATTCATGTTTAGTATAAATGCTCTTTTCCTCTGTATCTTGTCTTTTCCTTTGCAGATTATCAATAAACGGACAGTAGTATGTTATATTTTCAGGTACATACCAATAAGAGAAAAGTTGATACATTTCAGAAGTATCTCTTATATACTTATTCATAGTTTTTACAATTTCAACTTGTTATTCGAAATATTTTGTAATACTCTAAAAGTAATGGCCAGTACTTAATTCAAACAGCATGTTTTACAGAATGTGATGTTGACAAACAAACCAAGAGTTGATAAATAACATAACGACAGTATTTGCAAACGTTGAAAAAAGTTTTCATTATTAGAATATTTATGTTTATACTCTGAAACACTTCTTTTTGCTCCAGAAATGTGGCTTAAACATAATTAAAAGAACCACGTCTCTTAGAAATAGGTTCAGCTACGTTAATTTTCCATTCAAGGGATAAACCTATTCATACTTTAGAATTTCCTTTTTCAGAAAATAAAACAAGAAGGTAAGTAGGGATTTTCTTTATATTTCATTGTTATTTAACCTTCTCAAACGAATCCGAGATAGATAATGATGTGTTGTTTTTTCATGTCACATTAAGTGACTTTATCGTCACGTTCCAAGATAAATACAAATAATCATATAAACGAGAGACATAAAATGACTTATCATTCGATATAAATCTATAATATATAAATATATTTATTTTGAATTTGGAAGTCCTAAGCTATTCCTATCAATTTGGTCGAAATAATTAACATATAGTACACGCAAAATGAGAACTTGCGCTACACAATGAACTAACGTCTCAAACTACCCGCGGATTTATGCTGGAATTCACTCAGCAAAATAATTCCTAAATCGTTCCGCTTCATGTTAATTTAAACCATAACATGTATTTCACTTATTTCTAAAAATTCTATGTATTTTAAGACGACATCTGGCGTACTAAATAGTGAAAAGCTTAAAACTGTAATATTATGTATCGAGAAACCACCTAACTAGATGTTAGAGCGGACGTACACTTGACAAAGTTTAGGAACGTAGAGAAAGTAGTCCGCAGAGGAGTTAATAGGGGAAAAGTTAGTGTATGTTTAGTGAGTGAGTGACAAGAAGTCATGCGGTTGGCTGGGGATGATCAAAAGGCAGTGGGGACAACATGTGGGTTGTTCAACGAAGATGTTTCAGGAGTACAGGAGGAAAGATTTCGTGTTGACCGACGAAAGCTGGAACAAATGCTTCAAGGTAAAGTTTAAGGAATATTCTCGAGGAGCGAATTTTCTTAGATAACACAGATAAACTATGTTGATTATTTTATTACTCATACTGGTGTTTGCTTCGTAAGTTGTAGGGTGCAGCAGTGAAGTGGGTACGATAGGCCTAAGTATGAATTATGTACACAGAAATTTGCTTGCTGTAGCTGTAAATGTAATTAAATATCGGGTGACCTTTAAAGTTTCTTTTTAAAAAAAAATTCAAGTGCTCGGCGAGAAGTTAAACTTGAGGTTAGAGGATGTTCATCAATGAATTTAGTCTTTGCAACATACGTTTAAAAATTTGTAGAAATTTAAATTGAATAACACTAATTAAGTTCCAAACTTCTAATAAGCACCGAATATAAATTGTAATTAATATGGTTGCTAACTTTCTACATATTAAAATTGTAAACTATAATCACTATGAATATATAATAAAATTGCAAAATACAAGTTTCGAGTAACAAATTATTTGTACTTGGGACAAATTTTATGCATAAAGAATTGGCAAAATCACGAACATTGTGATAAAATTCAAGTTTTTAAATATATATATTTTAATTTTAGTATTTATTTAAATTTCTAAACTAGAATAAGTGCTGCCATCTGTGTACAATTTGAGTTGTAATAATACGTAAATGTTTTAGGTGTAAAGCAGGTATTTAAAAATCAAATTTATAAAGGACTAAAATGTAAGTGTAAAATATGTAGTCTGGTGACCATTAAATGGAATTTATTATCAGCATTAAAATGAGAATCATAAATAACCCCATCTACCTGGTGTAAAATCGTGAAATATATTCTAGCAATTATCATATCAACGTGAACGGTTTACTGGTGTTTAAAACATTAAACCTCAATGAGGAAACTTTAAATTTGTTGTCAGATGGCAACATAAACATTTTCTAAAGTTTTAATTACCTGAGCGGGAGGTGGACGTTTTCTCCAGACAGTTGTTCATGTTGAATTGTTTAGTCGTATTTTAGAAGATAAATTATTTTAAAATGATAGATCCACTAAAACTAGTAAAAGCCCTATCTGTGAACAGCGTTTGCTACCTGTAACTGAACAGGGTTATTTTCGTATTTCTGTAGGACGTCTACTTCTCTGTATTTTCTTTTTTTTTAAACGAAGAAATATTAAATAGAAAATATCATGCATGATTAGTTTTAGGTCAAAAACAATATGTTAGTTTCCTGTTGAATGTTTCGCCGTGAAATATGGTTAATCCAGTTAACCTTTATGTCCACGTTTTGAGCCTAGTGGGAAACAATTACATTATTTTATAAACTTTTTGAACGTCTGTTAAAAAGATTTTAGTAGTTATGTGCTACTGGTTAGCGTTTAGATTTTGTAGATTATAATGGTAAAAAAAACTAATTATAGTGATGTCAAAAAATACCTTAAGCCCAGGATAAAACTTCATTAACTCAATTCAAGTTGAATTCGTAAATAATATAAAAATTAAATTTCTATAGCTGCAACTGATTAACCTGGTGCTTAGCATAGGAAACTATAATTTGCCCAAGAACTTTACATATTTTAATTTGCATGTATTGTGTTTATATAGAATATGTTAAAGTGTCGCACTTATAGAGATTGGAAACTATTTGTGACACTGTGTAAATAAAGGCCTACGGAAAATGAATGTTTTATTTTTTTAGATTCATGAGTTGCAAGATTGCCATACAAAGTGTTCGTAAACAAAGCTTCTGGTAGACGGCTTATCATAGGATTTCTTAAATATTTTTCCATACGGTCTTGCTAGTAAAATCCATATCTGAGACACTACAGTCGTTTATACAAAGAATGTAATGTAGTATTAGGGCTTTTTTATAATATTTATACAATGTATGAATGCACAAAGAACAATGAGGCTATTCAATTAGGAACGACGAAGTATACCACTTCCAATATCGACCTTCAAGTAGTGAGGACTGTTTAGTAACTGCGTTTCCAAAAATTTTCACAACTAATTCTTGTCCTAAAAAGCAGTAAACTTCCAAGGCGCTACCTCATGATTAATAACATGAAAATAAAGACAGTGTTTCGCTTACTTCTATATGTGTAACATAAATATACTTATTTTAAACTCTCCAACTCAGTACTTGTATGATGCTTTTTTGTGTACTTGACTTCCTAATGTTCTTAATTAAAATTACTATATCTTACCATTTGTGTTTGTGTGATGTTTTAGTTTATTGAAAAAAATTCTCTAACATGAAGCAAACTATCCTGATATCACTGAGTTGAGGCGGAACCAAGGAATTACAAAATGCGTTTTCATGTGACTTGCTTTATTTTTATGGTTGATGTTCAAACCTGACATTCAAGTCCATAAGTAATCAGATACGAATTATTAGTGAAATGTTTATTATTGAATAGTTTTGCTGAATTAGGGTGCAAATAATCGCGAACATTTATCCTGTAAAATATTTTAACTTTAAATGATTTTAGCATAAATGTTTATTTGTAAATACTTTTTATCTTAAGCATCACGGTAAGCGCTGCTATCATTTATGAAATGAACACTTTTGTAATAACTAGGAAGCTGCATATAAACTACTGGATGTATTTGAATAACACAAGTGTTTGGATTTGCTAACAATCAAGTGACTCGATTATAAACGGAATGCTTGTACAAAACAACAAAAATCCGTCAGTTACTCATTCGAGAAGTAACTGCAGCTGACGGAGGGGGAGGAGGCTTAATCTGTTCTACTTTCCTTACTCTTCTCCTTGAAGGGCTACTTGATTTGTGTCTTGTGCATCAGGGGGCAATTTTTTTTAAAGCGATACTGGGTTGTCATTTTCGGACAGCAGTAAGAAGTCGAACTTTGCTTCAAAAGAAATGCATGTTTTTTTAAGCCTAGGGTTAAAATTTTTGTCCACACAGTTTTTTTTTTCATGTATAAGAGCAAGTCAAGAAAATATACGTTATAAAATTTGATTAGACTTGAGTGGGAGTAAAATATCGATGTGATGTATATATTTTTTAATTACCTAGAAATTGTTTCTTGCAGATCATAAGTTTTAGTTGTATACTGGTGTGTGTGTGTGTTATTAAGGATTTTGTAACTTGGGTCCATTTGTAAATGTTTGTCATCTACACATTCTTAACGATGGATAAAGTAAACAACTACCTCCTGACAAAAGCTTTTTCTCTCGCGTGGAAAATTCTTACATGTGACAAAGAACAAACGAGTATGAAAACTCTTTAAAAACGTTGCGATATACTGTTTATTTGTGTATTTGTACGTCTTTTCCCGCTTTTTTTCCTATCTTATTTTGAGAATGTGGGTGGGAGAAAGATTTCCAACCCTATAAATAACAAAAATGTATAAAAAAAACTCATCACGAGCATTTTTTGAACTTGGAGACGTACCGTGCCATGTGTTACTTTTCAACGAAGAAGGACTTAA